TGCAGACATCTTAAATTATGTATCTTATTTCTTATGTCATCGACCAATTTCACATAGAGTTCTTTTGAATGAATGTATAAAAAATAAAATAAAATAAAATATGTGTCTGTGTAAAATATTATGCTTGCTTTATTTGTTCTATAACATTCTCACGCTTCCGTTAGTAATCCTACGCATTAAACACCAGCCGCTCTTTAAATTGAAAGAGAAAGTAAGGCCTACCATCAATTTTTTTAAGTGACAAAATTTTTTAAATGTAGTCTGCATGCTTATAGGGATGCAGTGACGTTAGAAAATGAAAGGTCATGCTTCAAAACTAAGAGATGATGGAACTAAACTCCAAAAGAATTTCACAGTACATCGCGTGAAATTTTTTCTAATCAGACAATGGAACGTAATACAACTTTTCATTAACCTGTTAAGCTTTCGTGAAGGTGTGGATGATGCTCTTAAAATTAATAAGACCAAAAAATGATCAATTTAAAGACTTATGGTGCTACCTCTAGAGCAGTGTTTCTTAACCTTTCTAGCGAGTCGCACCCCATTGAATCTGAAAATATATTTCCGCACCCCATTGAAAAATGTGTTTTAATTTTTTAGTCTAGAAAAATACATTTTTTGCGAAAATTATTGTTTATTGAAAAACATTGTACATTTTATATAAATACAAAACAATATTATTTTTATTAATGACTAGTCTGTTGTTGTTTGTTCATTATTATACTGGCGAAGCGAGGTTCCTTTTTTGAAAGACATAAGCGTAAGTCATCACTTGCATTTAAGCGATTTTTCGCTTTAGTTTTTATATACAAAAGCGATGAAAATCCCATTTCGCACAAGTAGGTGGTAGCAAAGGGTAAGAGTAACTGCCAGTGCTCCGTTCGCAAACTCTGGATAACGTTGTAACTGTGAACACCAGAATTGTTGCAATTCTAATTGTTCGAATTCCATTTGAACATGTCCACTTGCTCGCATTTCAATAAGTTGATCTTTTTTCAGATCACGATCATCCATCAAATTTAAGTCATATAGAAATGGATCCAGTATCCGTCTCTGAGTTTTGGTAATATTTCCGGTAGAAAAATATCCAATGAATGATTCGCTCAATCATCTCAAATGTATTACAATGTCGGGTATAATTGTATTCTTTTCATTTTTCGCAATAACAGAATCAAGCAAGGAAAAGTTTGCAAAATTCCCCTTTTCTACTCGGTGTATCCAAATTTCTAATTTTGCGATAAATGAAGATAATTTTTCACTAGATATTATTATATTTATACCAAATCCTTGCATTGATAGATTCAATTCATTTAAATGGCTAAATATGTCTGCTAAGTAGGGCAGCCACAGGATTGCATCATTACTCTCAAAATCTTTCACTAAATAACAGTTTTGACTAGTCAGTAATTGAATAATTTCCTCACGCAATTCAAAAACTCTGTTAAGCATGCGACCCTTAGATAACCATCATATTTCAGCGTGATATAGGAGCACGGTACGATCAGCACCGATTTCTTAGTAAAATGCACAAAAAATGCGATGATTAAGCGCTCGCCCTCGGATGTATTTTACTACATTTACTGCTAGTTAGATGTTGTTTTAAACTTTCTGGCAATGCTTTCGACGCAAGTGCATGACGATGCAACATGCAATGCGTTATTATAACTTCCGGTAATTCTCTTTTCATGTGTGAAAAAAATCCTGAATTTTTGCCTAACATTGCTGGGGTTCCATCAGTGCATATTGAGCCAATCACATCCATTGGTAATTGATATTTAGTAAAAAAAATCGTTGATGCGATTGAAAACATCAATTCCTCTCGTATTTAACTCGAATGACTCACAAAATAGAAATTCTTCTATCACCTCTTTTTCCTTCACATACCTGACAAATACCAAAAGTTGGCTACAATTATCAACATCAGTTGACTCATCCAGTTGCATGATTATTTTTAGTGGACTGATTTTTATGTCTTCAATTACTTGCATTAAAATATCTTCACTGAGATCTTGTATTCGCGATCGTATAATATCATTCGATAATGGAATCTGTTGGATTTTTTTTATGTGCTTCCGAATCTAAAACTGTTTTAGCAATAATTAAAGAGAAGGTTTAATCAACTCTTCAGCGATCGTGTGAGGTTTCTTTCTTTCTTTTTTTTTTTTTACATAAATATGCCACTTGATATGACACTTCTAATAAAGGTTTTTGAATTGCTGGTCAGCACAATTTTAGGATAGTTTTCATTGGTATCAAACCGAGCCTTCTTTGACTTCAAGCTGTTCATGCTATGCGCTTTTTCGCCACCATGCAGATTGTTGAAATGCTCTACTTTGATGGTTTGAGATTGCTGTTTGAAAATATCTTGGAACACAAGATGCATTCGGTCTTTTTCGGTTGTGCAGCTAAATCCATAACCGGCATACTTATCGTTCCATTGTCGTTTTTTTGACATAGTGTTGTTCACTATAATCGATTTAATTATTTAGAAATAATGCAATATAATATATATATAATGTTCTTACGTTTGTAATATCACTGAATCCTATTCCTTGAACGGGTAATTAAGAATGTATTAGTCTCAAGAGGTTTCTGGACAAGTCAGAATACACAATACACATGTCGCAGACACAATAGTTGACTCAACCTAACACAGGCGCAGTAGATGCAGATACAAATCTGTGAATCCGTACATTCCATTGGAGTAGCACATATTGAACTCAGCGCATGCGCAAGCTGGGATAACGTTTTCCGCATGTATTCCCACAAAATGTTTTTCTTTTCTCCGTCACCTAGCTGCCTGTTCGCGTTCGTTTGTAGCGTTTCATGCCTTTTCGTAGCGCAGTATATACGCCCATCGGCACCGGCTCTTTCCTGTGTCTTTTGCCGATAAGTGAACTAGGTGCTACCAATTTTTATGAGCTTCAATATTGGGGACACTATTGCAGATTTCAAATATTTTATTATAAGAAATTTAATAAATGATATTTAATAATTTTTATGGTTAGGTAGGGGCTTCTCCCGCACCCCCAAAAATACATTCCCGCACCACCAGGAGTGCGGGCACCCCTGGTTAAGAACCACTGCTCTAGAGTCAGGGCAATCGGTGCAGTGCTATTGGGTGGCAGATGTAAAAGGCAATTAATTTTAGAAGTTCCGGAAGGCAAAAATCCTAGCTGAGGCTCTAACTAAATGCGTATTTGGGACAAGCTAGGGAAAAAACAAGTTTTTCAAACAAGATGCTAGAAGCTAAATTGATTTCGCCAACACTATATTCCGTATTTTGAGAGAATCTTTGTAAAAGGGACAGTTTATCCGTCATTGCTTGATACGGTGTTACTGAAACGAAGATTTGATGATGAAGGATTATATCTTTTAATTAAGACAATTTTCAAAAAGTGAATACAGAAGTTTGACCAGAATTGAAATTGTTGTAAAGAGAGTGGAGGAAATCCTTCGGTACTTACGCATTAGCGCACTCACCTTGGGGCAGCTTAACGAAATTTACAGAAGAAAAAAATGATTGATGAATTTTCGTATTGAAATTTATAATGAATATGCTTACCTTAAGAACTGTTATGCGCATGGTTGCCAAAGTTTGGCGACTTCTGAACATTTGGCCGCTTCTATTATGTTTGCAATAATACTATGTAAATACAGACCATTCTTCCCGCGATCCGAAAAATTTCAACATGCTCAATTATTGGTGAAATAAATGATGCCTGGAATCACTAAGGAGTTTTCACGAAAGGTAGAGTTCAATGCTGAGAAAATGAAACTCAAGCATATTACTCAGGGTTTAATTTCTAAAATTACAAGAGCCGGAGTCCTATGGAAGACCGCCAGGATAGAGGAGCAAGAATAAAAAAATAAACAAGATGACTAATAAAATAATTAATAATTAAAAAGTTAAATACTTTATTATGAAAATAATTAAGTAATTAATGATTAAAGTAAATTAATAATTAAAATTTAATAAAATGTAAAAAGATAAATTAAAATTTAATAAGAGATTTTGAATATCATTTCATTGCTAAAAATAAAATTCTCGAAATCAAATCTCTACTGAAAGTTTTGTTCAGTTACATAAAATGAGTGTGGGAGCTTCTTATTTAGTGCTCCGGTGCTCTCTGTCTAGTATTATGATTTATCTTAAAAACTAAAAAGTGCCCAAGCCGGGATCAGGCGCAATTTAAGCTTTGATATTACAGTTAGTGGTTGCGAAAATACTACAGAAATTTACGCAAAATTAATCTAACCTGCTTAGGAACGGAGACTATATTTTGAAGACCTCTCGCAAACGAAAAAGTTCTGATTGATTTGCTAACCAAATGTAAGCATGAAGATTTACCTAACCATCCATAAAAATCACCCAAATTTCATATTCTTCCTGAAAGTAAAAGAAGACCTACGTGGACCAGTATTGTTTTATCTATGCTGTTAAGGTGCTGGAAAGCCGCAGTTTGTCCATGCCTGATATATTTCAACAACCGATATTTAGTGAAAGATGTGGAAAAACAAAAAATAGATGATTCTTCCTCTTAAAAGTGCGTATTTTACTTAAAACGGAGTGTGTCTTCCTCTTTAAGCCTTTTCTTTCGCTCGTATATGTATGGTGGTAAGTTCAATAATTAATAATTATTAAAAGGCTTACCTGAATTATAAATTTCAAGCTACCTGAAAACACTTAAATAAATAAGGCTTAGACATTTTATGCAGCATTAGAATTTTTTTCATGTTTGCATTTTCACCGAATATTGAATTCTTGCGTCATTTGATTTTTTACCTCTGTTACCACAAAAGCAAAATTAACAATACATACGCAGAAAACATCTGCTGCGAGGACAGCAGCACTTATAGAGAAAGATAAAATTAGGCAAAAAAAACATTTTGAAATTTAACTGCACCTAAGCTTTATTTTCGTTGTAAAGGCAAAAAGAAGTAGTAAATGCAAAATATGCATTCGTCTACTCCTTAATTGTCGTAAAAGGCGGTTATGAAGCGTCTCTAAACCGAAGACGAGGGAAAACCAACTTCTAACTTATTAGCAACTAGCAATTTTTATTCTCATACTTTAATAAAACATTAGTTTCTCTCATTTTCTTATAAAAATAAGCTTAAACTGCTGCAAATTTTTAATGTGCGCCCCTTTTATTAAGTTTAAATAAGCATTGACGTCATACACGTTAGGTCCACCCACAATATACATCACTAGCGTAGCCATGGCTCACTGAGGAGAGCATGGGTTTCCTAGCGATTTTTTCCCATTTTTTTAGCAGCGTGTTTTTTTTTACTTTTGCTACACTTTGACATGTTTCTGTTTTATGTGGAATTTGTACAATTATGTCTTTAGGGGAGGGATGTTGTACTGCAAACACTGAAGATGCAGACTGTCCGCAGCTTGTCTCTGACCCGGTACTAGTGTGTGATTTGAAAAGCAGGAAGCGTAAACAACGAGACAGAATAACTAGTGATAAAAAAAGAACCAAACATCAGCTGTTAACGCATGATGCCACAGAAACCAGTACAACAAATTTTGATAATAATGACATACAGTCCGTTAAAAATTATACAGATACAGTTGAGTCTAATGAATTAAAGAATGTGCCTGATAAAATGGATGATAAAATTGAACGAAGTGCTGAGAAAAACAAACTGACCCCCCAGAATGTAAAAAGTATCCTTAGGGTTTGTATATCTGTCTTTTTATAATACTTTCTACTGAATTTGTATAAGTAACGCGAAATTTTACTTTGAGATATTTTTCGGCGACTGAGTGTCATTGCCCTTTGTTTTGTAATATATAGTGTTTCACATGAATCCGACAGAGAAGAATTTAAAAACACTAGAATTTGATTAAGAAAGAAAAATATTTTGTTCATAACCATCATCTAAATTGCAAAACATTCTGAAGCAATACTTAATACATAAACATACTGAAATGTTAAATTTACTGAAGTTTTCATTTAAAGTATTTCATTGCTTTAGTGCTTTCAGATATTTTATTTAACAAAATGTACATTCTCAGCATAATATAGCAAAGCCATGTTATTTGCACAAGTGAAGTATTCTAAAAAGTTGAAATTCTAATTTCAGCCTTTTGGAATTTGCACTGTATGTCATATAGCTAGTGAAACAGCTAATAGTAATCTTGGAATAGATTGAGTGACATTATTTAAATCAGAAACATGCCTAACAACATTCAATTTGTGTGTTTTTATCTCACAGCCGTTTTTATCATGAGTGTCATCTAAAATTTACCTCTTTATCCACAAGTGTAGCCAAATGTATTTTTAGATAGTTAAAATTAGGGAAGAAACAATCTTTGATTGCTGTAGATTTTGAATAAAACTCTTTTTAATTTCAAGCGCAATAGACATGACCTTCTTTGGGAACAAAGTATTAAAATTATTGTTTGTTATTAAAATTAAATTATTCAAAATCTGTGCCAATCTAAGGTTTTCTAGTTAGATATTTTTAGATGCTATTAGATTAAACTTGCTGATTTTTTTTTAGCATGTTATTACAAATGAATATGTGCTGACAATGGTTCAGAACACTATGAAATCTGAGAACAATGACAGTGATGAGTTGGATGAATCATCATTTGAACCCAAGTTAACTAGGTCCAAAGCAAAAGAACTGAGAGAGAAGCAATATACGGTAATAATATTTAATGCATTTTCCTATTATTCTGTTACTTTTATTTAGAATTTGATATTTTACAATGGTTTGCTAGACAGGGTGTCAATTATTTTAATCAGGTGATTAAAATTCAGTGACTTAAATCATGATAATGAAATCTGTAGATTAAAAAAAAAAAAAAAATAAAATCATAGATTAGAATCAAATATTCTATCCTTTTTTTATTATTATATTACAAGAGATGTATTAAAATCAAAGATAATGCTTATAAAGCAATATAATGTAGCAGTTATAACATTTTAACTGCTGAAAACAAAAAATATAAACTTTTTAAAGAATTTAAAAATAATATTTTAAACAAGCTTGTTTCAAAATTTTATGAAATTTTTATCAGATACAAAAAGCATTTTAATTGAAACTGATGCTCAGTTAGATTTACTGTAATTTACACATTTATGTAGTAACTTATTCTGTATAATCAAACTTTACTCTGATTGTAAAATAAGTGTAACAAGCATAATAATTTCCTTAAGTAAAAGAATTAATAGTGATTTTTTTCGACCCTGTCTTCCCTTTTCTATAAATAAAGAACAAATTGGGATTGGAGAAGAAAGAATAACAGCTTCTCAGTTGTTGAACCTGCAGATAGTTTGGTTTATTGAGATTATGGCAAAGCACAATAGGGCTATCTGCCTAAGGGAAGAGATGCCTTCGTGGAGGACTTTCTAAGGGAAACTGGCTCGCATACACATTACACATGGGGAAAAACATGAAAACGCCCATGCAGCCAGCCAGGATTCGAACCTTGGACCGAACTACCAGTGTTCAGCGACTTTACCGCTTGGCTGCTGGTGGTCCCCGTTGCACCTGCAGAATTTCATTGTTTCTGCCCATCTAGCTGATTAAAATCACCATGACCCTAGATCACTCTATCAACTTTCTTTGTTCTTTACTGAGTGTTTCATTAGTGTTAAGGGTTAATCTTTAGATTATGGTAACTTGGTGATTTTTTGGCAACCAACTCTGCTACAGCAACCCTCTATTTTTTTAATTTTTTTTTGCTGCCATTTTGTCTTCCCGAAGTAAAGACATGTTTCTTTTCTTTTTATTTACTCGACACTTTTTCCAACAATCTGCCGAATTACACTTATGCTAGAAATTTTATGGAACAAAACTCCTTAATCATGACAAGTATTAACTGCAAAATTGGGAAAAAGCGCAGAATCGCAAACTCCTTGCCGTGTTTTTCAAAATCGCACATACGCAGTAACCATGTACACGTCGACTTATTTTTACTTAAAAAAACATCCTAGAATTGCACAAAAATGGCATTGAGCACACTCTTGACTTTATCCATCTTACACTGCTATTTTCTCATAAATTACAAAAATTTGCACGAAAATGCAGGACAATTTTGTGAATCTATAAACTCGGTAAAAAGCACATATATGAAATTACCTAATCGCGAAAAAGTATATACCCTTTCCAAGGATGAACATTTGCACGTATAAAATAAAAAAAATATCCAAAAACTTTTCCCTCTAAATTATCTATTAAAAACCTCACCTGCCAATTTATAAGGCAACCATTAAAAATGGTTTCAAATACTTAGTGTCAAATACTTAAATTCTTTCCATGCATATTTACTTCTACTCAAATGTATTCCAAAATACTACAAAAATATAACTCTCAAAATCACGATCATTAATTTAAAATATAATTAAATTAAAAACACACTACTTAAAATATAAATAAGCACATACATTAAATTAATAAAAATTAGCTTGCAATCCTAATTGCTTTAAACTAAATCATTGCTAATAACAATTTTCCAATAATACCATATTAATTTATTTACTCCTTACATTTAGAACAATGCATAAAAATAATATCCTCAAATAATTAAAAATACTGACTTACCTAATCTTCTACAGAATCTTGAGTGCATGGCAGATCACAAAATGTCCATTTTCACCAGATTTCTTGCACCGTCATTCAAACTTATCTGTAATATCCTTCCTTTCACACAATCTCATTTCATTCCCACATGTTGGACATTCGTACTTATCCGCAATTAAGCAATTTCTTTTCAATTACACATAAACGCAATAAAAATTTCGGATTTACTTTACATAGGGCTATGGGATCTAAATATTAAACAACACTGTTTCACAGAACATACAATGAAACTAATGCTATAAATTGCAGCAGATATTTTTACAAATTTACCCCCTTTTTCCGAGTAAAGAACAGTGATTCGTCTATTAATGTCACATGACATATCTCATGATCTCTCATTTCCCTAACACAAAATAATGCATAATCGGAACTGAGTACTTCTCACATTATTCCCAAGCCCACCAGCGGCCGAGCAGTAAAGACGCTGGACACTGGTAGTTCAGTCCGAGTTTCGAATCCCGCGAACGGGCTGGGGCATGGTCGTTTTCGTGGTTTTTCCCCATGTGAACGTGTATACGAGCCAGTTCCCCTTAGAAAGTCCTCCACGAAGGCATCCCTCCCCTTAGGTAGATAGCCCTTGAGGCTTTGCCGTAATCACACACACACATTATTCCCAAAGTCCTAGGTAGTAACCTTTATCGCCTCCAAAATGTCGCCAAACTACCTGTTACCATATTCCAAAGATTAGCCGTGTTAAGTTATTGCTTTTAATTTGAGATTTAATTTTACTGATGAAGTTTCTGAGGAATATATAAGGAAGGGGAGATCTAGTTTAAGATTATTTTAATGAAAAGATTGAACAAGGGGGGGGATCAAATAAAGCAGTTTGTAAAACTCGTGGAAAAGAAATGCCACTTTTAATTTTCTCAGCAACAAATTACCTGGAAATTTGCTTCACTCAGGGTCAAACAAATGAGATCACAGAATAAGTAATACATGATGGTGAGTATTAATTATTATTAACATTATTAATTTTTCATAAAAGTATATTTACAGGCCCCTTGGCGATATTTTGGCTTGTGTAGCGCCGATTTTTGTGTCAAAAATCGCTGCTGCACAAAGCCAAAATTCAAGTCAAAGAATTGCGCAACCTCAGTATCCATGTACACATCGACCTATTTTTACTTTAAAAAAAATCCTAAAATTGCACAAACTTGGCATTGTGCACTCCTTTGACTTTATCTATGTACACATCAACCTATTTTCACTTAAAAAGACATCAGAGAATTGCACAAACTAGGCATTATGCACTCCCTTCACTTTGTCCATGTACACATTGAACAATAGTCACTTAAAAAGTCAAAGGAGCAGCCAACAAAAAATATATAATCTCAATACAATTTGTTTTAAATCAAACAATGAAATAACATAAAGAAGGAAATTCATCTTAGCACTACATAAAAGAAATATCCACTTACCTTATTTACAAATTTCCCTGTCTTCAGTCAAACAAAATTCCTTAACAGCATCCCAAAACTACCTGAACTAGAAATCTGTATACTCTTGTTGCCACATAAATTCACAAAAATAAGAGTAAAAAATATCCTTCCTGGTGCAGGTGTCCTCCTACGTTTGATCATGCACATTTCCTCCTTACAAACAGGACACTTATAATGGCAACTAAGTAAACTTTCATTTCCACACCAGTCAGTTAATGCCTTTCATTCCAAGTCATACAGAAACTTGAAATTAATCTTAAAACATTCAGCCATTTTATATACCTTATATACCAGCAAGAGTATATAAGGTGGACAATTGTGGTCGAATGTCGCTACAGAGGATATTTTTTTATGAATTTATGTGGCGGTGCCAGTATACAGATTCTAGTTCAGATAATTTTAGGAAGTTTTTTGGATGCCGTTAAGGAATTTTATTTGACTGAAGACTTGTTAATTCGTAAATAAGGTAAGTGGATAGTTCCTTTTGTGTAGTCCAAAGATGAATTGCCTTTTTTATGTTATTTCATTGTTTGATTTAAAATGTAGTTTATTGAGATTATAGATTTTTTTGTTGGCTGCTCTGTTGACTTTTTAAGTGAATATAGTTCGATGTGTACATGGACAAAGTGAGTGTGCAAAGCCTAGTTTGTGCAATACTGGGATTTTTTTTAAGTGAAAATAGGTCGATGTGTACATAGATACCAAGTTTGTGCAACTCTCTGTCTTGTTATTTTGGCTTTGTGTAGCGGCGATTTTGCTGCACAAACTTGGTATCCATGTACCGCCAAAAATCGTCAAGTTTCACCAAGGGGTACTCGTAAATATACTTTTACTGATGGTTGTTGCTCCATAATGTTAGGTCCAAAATCCTTTATGTTTTTACCGATCGATTGATAATTTCACCATCATCAGAGGACTATTTGTCAGTTAACTCGTCCACCTCAGGCAGCAAAGCAATTATATCTGACTCAGTCTCCTTAGAAAACATATATTCTAATGCTTGTTTGACGGAGTGAAACACCTTACACCTGGACATTTTGGAAAAAATTAAATGGGAAAAAAACAGCATTAGTTACCACTAATGCCCAGCGATGTATTTATAGATTAGCATGTTTAAGCTAAAAATTTAATTATAAGAACAGTTATTTTTCTAATCTAAATAATGCAGAGCAATTAAAGAGGTATTTAAAATGTAGAACACGTAAGAAAAATATAACTTACTTTTGATTTTTTTCCCCGTTGGATACAAAATCGAAAGCTGCACTATGAAGCATTACTTGGCTAACTTCAGACGTTATCTGCTGGACTGTTCTGGAAAAGAATGTTTCAAAGTGCCATAGATCACTTGGCGGTAACGGGTTAAAATTCAAAAATATAATTACCACATTGCTGAAGCTGTTAGAATTTGAAAAGATCTTGAAAACAATCTGGAAATCCTTTAAAGCATAACTTGATATGAACAAGCATAGTTATCAGTACAATTTTTGGCATGTATTTTATCATCAAAATATAAACCTGAAGCCTTACTAGCATTTGAAGGGGACCAGGCATTGGAATTACTAAAAAGAAAAATATTGAGACACTACTTTGTTCAGCATTACATTAAAATTTATAATTCAT